ACTCTCATAAGATATCATAAGATACTAGTCCTGTGAGAATATACCATTCCCAATCAAAAAAAAATGAACCTCAAAGTTAAAGAAGAATAAGAAAACTTATGTTTAAAGCAAGTGAGAGAGTTATTGTGAAGGACAATCTGAAACCACTAGATCATGATTTGATGTCATTTGTTATGTACCCATATCATGCCATATCCCCATCATATCTCTATTTCGCATGGTTGTATAAATCTCCACTGATCAATTCTCCTCCTGAATTCTCTTGGTCAACAAAGTTCAAATCGTTCATCCCCGTATGCTTCGAGCTAATTGTCATGGAAATTGCAAAAGTACGACCCAAACAGCCATCCGAAAATTGGTGGTTCGTACGAACGGTGACATTTCACCCTGTAGCATCTTACGTTACATTTCAGGACACATCTAAGAAAGGGGGAAGGAAACAGGATGATACAATAAAAAACTGTCTCTGCGGCAGCAAACAGTGCTGACATCCCATTTTATCTACCTATATGTATATATATAATATATATATATATATAAATATATTATATATATATATGACCATGGGTCGATTCAACCGGCTGCCCCATCTTTGGAAAGTCCTCCCAATTTTTGAACAGCTTGGACGGTCCTGCTCTCGTTTCTGGATACTGTTACTTCAATCCCGCACCTATCATGTGGAAACGGGAAACTCTGATTTTCCATCTGGAACCACCATTTTTTTGCTGGCAATGTTGATACAAACCATAGCTCTTATCAATCTATCACAGTTTCATCCGTTCACCAGGGAGTAGGGGCACCAGTATCATCCTCTCAAGCACCAGAAGTGGTCGCACACCGTCTTCAAGTACGAAGTACGGCAGGGGCAGAACCGAAGCGTTGAAACGTTTTTTGAAGTCCACGGGTAGAAGAACACAATGACCGGACACGAAAAATCTAAGATCCCGATTTTATGTGCTGGGTATTAAATTTGATTGCAACTTTCCAAAATATCGTTCTGTCTGAAATCCCATTGTTGTTCTGGGTTATTCTGGGTTTTTCAACCCAACTGGCTTTGAAAATTTGGGTGAAAACCTCCAAATCCCATGATTTCTTATCGCTTTCCCATTCAAATTGCCATGGTTGGGTATCTCGATCCTGCCGCCCCCAATGTGGTGAAACAAACGACGACTGGCCTTAGGAAGCTCCACTCCATGCGACCAGCCGTTTTGGTTTTTGGGCAGCAACAGGGCCATGAGTTAAGCTGGTGGCTATCTGGCCACTAGTTACGGCAGGTTGAACGAATCGTGCCATACTATACTTAATGTGAATATCTATGAATTTATATACTGCATATATATATATATATACATATATATATATACATATATATATATATACACACCTGGAAAGCCAAAAACAAAAAATATGCATGGAAAAAAGCGGTAACATTCAGTTTTTTGGGGGGTTAAGCTCCGGGCCTCTACTTTGGCCGTTTTGGGCCTGAATCTGGGTAGGGCTTTGGGCCTCTACTTTGGGAATTTTGGGCCTGAATCTGGGCAAAGCTGTGGGCCTCTACTTTGGCGGTCTTGGGCCTAAGTTATGGCAAGGCTTCGGGTCTCGACTTTGGGCAATTTTGGGCCTCAATTTGTGCAAGGCTCTGGGCCTTAACTTTGGCCATATTGGGCTTGAATCTGTGTAGGGTTCTGGGCTTGTACCTTGACTTTTTTGGGCCTTAATCTGGGCAAGGCTCCGGACCTCTATTGTGGCCCTCTTGGGCTTGAATCTGGGCAAAGGTGGGCCGCTACTTTGGCCATTTTGGACCTGAATCTGGGCAAGGCTCTGGGTCTTTACTTTGGCAAATTTGGGCTTGAAGCTGGGCAAGGCTCTGGGCCTCTATTTTGGCCATTTTGGGCTTGAATCTGGGCAAGGCTCTGGGCTTGTACTTTGGCTTTTTTGGTCTCCGCTTCGGCCATTTGGGGCCTGAATCTGGGCAAGGCTCCAGGCCCCTGGTTTGGGCCTTCCTCCCATGTTAACTCGTCGATGATAAGGCTTTGATTCCATGTTAACTCCATGATGACAATGCCTTCTTCCCACGTTAGCTCCTCGATGACAAGGCCTCCCTCCCATGTTAACTCCCGTGTCTCGGGCTTTGAAGTTGTTTGCTGGGTGCGCCCTTTCTTGGGCTTTCAGGTTGTTTGCTGGGCGTGCCCTGTTTGGTGGTTGGACCCTTTCTTGAGCTTGAATGCATGTGTATATGTAGGTATGTATATATGTATGTACGTGTCCATGGATGTATGTATGTATGTATGTATGTATGTATGTATGTATGTATGTATGTATGTATGTATGTATGTATGTATGTATGTATGTATGTATGTATGTATGTGGATACCTCCTTATTTATGTATGTATCTGAACATATGTGTGCGGATATGTATGTAAATGCGTGTGCATGCGTGTGTGTGTAGATATGTAATTATATTTGTACGTATGCATGGATGAATGCATGTATGTATGTATGTATGTATGTATGTATGTATGTATGTATGTATGTATGTATGTATGTATGTGGGTACCTATTTATGTATCTGAACATATGTGTGCGGACATGTATGTAAATGCGTGTGCATGCATGTGTGTGTGTGTAGATATGTAATTATATTTGTACGTATGCATGGATGAATGCATGTATGTATGTATGTGTGTATGTATGTATGTCTGAACGCATGTATCTTTGGGCCTTCCTCCAATGTTAACTCCTCGATGACAACGCCTACCTCCCATGTAAACTCCTCGACGACAAGGCCTTTCTCCCATGTTAGCCCCCGAGTTACCCCAAAGACAGGAGGCAAAACCGCCAGGAAAGACATCAGAGTTATATATCCCAAGGCAGGAGCCAAAACCTCCAGGAAAGACGTCAGAGTTTCAGTATCCCGAAGACAGGAGGCAAAACCATCAGGAAAGACATCAGAGTTATCCCAAGGCAGGAGTCAAAAACACCAGGAGAGACATCAGAGTTACGCCAATTCAAAAGAGGCCGACATCAAAAGCAGCACGAAGAACACAAGCATCAAAGCATCAAAATCATCACCAAAGGTCTTGTTGTCGCATTGCAGCCGGGTCGACGTCAAAAGAAGGATGAGGAACACAAACATCAAGTCGTCAAAATCATCACCAAAGGTCTTGTTGTCGCATTGCAGCCGGGTCGACGTCAAAAGCAGGATCAGGAACACAAACATCAAATCATCAAAATCGTGTCATGCTGTTTTATGCCATACTGAAAAAACACACTTGCAGCCCCAGACCACTCAATGTTTGACAACGTTTGACCCTGGCCCTTGCGATCGCTCTGCTCTTTTTGCCCGCCCCGTGGCTCAAGCCTGGCCGCCCCCATCTCTTTGGATGGCTTCTACTCTTCGCCGGTTCTCTTCAGTCAAGCCAGTCCAACATCGCCTGCAGACCTTGATGGCGTCGAACCCCCCGTTGCCCAACCACCGGCAGCCCAGGTCGCGATGTGCTAACCTGCTGCGGTCTTCTCTGGTCACGAATAGTAGGTGATCCGGACTTGGGGGGGTTCTGACGCAGGTACGGCACAGGTGTACCTCCCAGACGTCAGCATACAGTACACAGGCACATCCCACGGTATGCACTGTTCCAGCTGTCGACTAGGCCCCGGATTGCTGCAACTCCACTAGCACCGTGCTCCATGTGCCAAGGTCGTTGTGGTGCGGTTTCGGGCTGGGGTTTGGCCTTTAAAGCGCTGCGACGTGGACAATCAAACTTCAATTGAATCAACTGAACAGCTTCAATCCTAGTAACTTCACAAGTACTGGCTTCAGTTCAACAGTTCTAACATTACGGCTGCAAATAGTGTCTTACCTGCAATGACCAGAAAAGAGTGTCAAATCAAACCGTAGCAAAACCGTATTGTTTGACGTTTTGTTGAAAAAATGCCGTACAAAGGCGTAGCAACTCTCACACACGTGGCTCCAGACAGTCAAAGGCATCAGAAGACAAAACAAAATGGTCAAGGCCGTTTGACAGAAAATTGGATTATGGCTTTCCAGGTATATTAAATATATATATATAATATCAATATCACTATAATCATAAGTATGTTAAGGTTTCTCCCACATTTTTGCCATGTTGTGGTGATGTTGTAGAATCATGTGAACAAACACCCCATCTCTGGAGATGTCGTTGTCGCGTCACTAGAAAGTTCAACAACAGAGAGTGTGGTAAAGCATGGTAAAACCCAATGATAAATCATTCCTACGTAATATTACCATATTAATTACCATCATGAGCCATGGTTTTTACCTGGTCTCATGGCATTGGTAGCCGCATCATTTGGTAAAAGCCATGTAAAAGCCACATTACGTCGCCCTGATCTACTTGAGGATGTTGATAGTGCTCAAAAAGCTTCAAAACTTCACAACGTACCAGATCCTCAAAAGCATCAGAAAGGAAAACAAAGTTGAATAAAAGAAGTAAACATATATAAAAAAATGATGTAGGACAATAAAACCTAGGAATATGTCAAAATATATCACAATATCATAAAACATGTCAAACTAATTAGTCAAGAAACCTTTTCTCCTTTCCTATCTACTTGCGCCTCGGGTACGACTGACGGATCTTATTCAAGGAACCATTGCCGCCTGCGGGATATCCTTGCCCTATCTGATCTATCTGTACTTTCCTGCCACTGAAGACTGGCTGTTGCAGTTGTTTCTTAATGGTGTGATAAAGAGCAGATATGAGCAGGTACAGTATGAGTGCTGAATGGCTGAAACCGAAAAACGGATTCCAGCACAGATTCATTAAACAGTGACATGTTCTCCAAACTGCTTCTATGCACCCAATATAAATCCTCAACGCTGAAGTGGCGCCAAAGAGCACACCAAATAATCCACGATTGAAACCCCCAAGAGAAACCATCCAAAAAAACAAGTGTCCCCAGGTTCTCAGGTTCTCAGGTTCTCAGGATCCAAATCTGGTGCCAATGCCTCTGAATCGAATGATTCTTCCAATTATCTTTCCGAGATCCACTCGTCCCTTGTGGCCACCCGGAACACTGCGAAATCTGCGGTCCGATCTTCCCAGAACTTTGCCGGGTTGGACCTGCCGCGGACCCGGTTTGATACGCTGCGTTCATTTCTTGGGGTCAAATGTTGGACCAATCCTTGCCGCTGCCGCTGCCGTCCGAGGCCGCAGATGTCCAGATTCCCACCAAAGCACCGAAAAACAAACCATGAAAAATGGCCATCACATTCCATGAAATACGGGTTGGTCGATAGATGTTAATAGGTATTCCAATAATAGAACATTCGTTAATAATCGCCAACAAACAAGATAAACCAGGTATCTTAAAGCTGAACTATAATGAACACTTGACAATTAACCATAATTCACCACTATATCAATATATATATATATATCAATGATTATCCCCCATGTTCGGTGGATAAGACTTCAATATCCTGTGGATAAATAATCTTAAAATCTCCATGTAACCAACAGCCTGGGGTGTTTTTTGACGGCTCGATTCACTGGGAAAACCATGGAAAACTCACCAGATTTGGTGGTTAAATGACTGGAAAGGTGTGTTCCTTACTGGGGAAATGATGATGAACTGATTAACTATTAATAATTGTAATTCCCAAATAATATGATATAGATCCCATTTTCAGACACATCCATATAATAAGACATGTTGTCCGCAACCTTAACGTTCGCCCAGACTCATCATTGTGACATAACAGAGACAATTTTGTGTTGCTGGGAAGTTGCGAATCCAAGCAAGGCCAAGGGTAAAATTAGGCCACGGTGGCATGTGAAAGATACCTTGAATACAGTTATCTTCATGAGGAAACAATATCACCTGATCATCATGAGGGATCGAAATCCGCCACCCCCTATGACATAATATGCTGAACGGGCTAACAACATAAACTTTATCTTCATGAGGGATCAAAATTAGCCACCCCCTCTGAACAATACGTTGATTGCAGGACATCAACTCCGGGCAAACGTCCAGGTTGCAGCGGACATGTTTTAAGCAACAACCAATGGTTATATAACATAATATAAACCAATAAGATTGACGATATAATGACAAGATGTTTTTTGGCCAACAAGGATGACTTAAACATTTAAACATAGACCAATCATAATTGTGATATATTGTGATATCATGGGGGTATACTGGGGATACAAACTGCAGAAGAGCACTTCCCATTTTGCATAGAGCGTTTTCCATTTTGCATTGATGCAACTTGAAAGTCTTGCAGACTTGAAGCACATTCCAATCTCATTTTTCACATTTAAGTCGATTGATCAGCTGCCTTTTGAAGCTTCAAATCCAATCGCCATCGTGAAGAAAGGCGTGAGGTGCGAACTGAGGAGGTGGGAAATAGGTTGTGGCTCCTGCACAAAAGCAGGTTATGAGCCCAACGCTCGACCAATAGAAGAAATGGACCAAGGTCAACGTAGAAGGAAGGCAACAGAAAAGGAGTTGCGACAAGGAATGGAAGAGATGCAGAAAGCAAAGGAAAGGTTTGAGAGAGAGGCAGAAGAAGGACAGGAATTGGCCCTAGAAGATGGAAAGGAGGTTGGTAGTAAGGAAGAGGAGAAGAAAAGGTTGAGGATAGAAGATGCCCCAACGGAGTCGTTAGAAAAAGTGAAAGACACCCAGGGTAAGTCAAGTCCAATGCCTAAGACCTCCCCTGCCGCCATCACTCCAGCCCGTCCAGGTTCAGCAGTTCCGGAATCCACTGCTTCCAGAGCCTCTGAAGTTCGTCCACGATCAGAGCCAAGGATCGAGGACTCAGAAAAGCCAGCTCAGGTGGACCATCAGAGGACTCCACCACCAGGGTCTGGGATGGGTAGGGGTGCTGCTAGCAGTCAGGCAGAAACGCCCCAAGTTCCAGTCACTCCTGAGATGCAAACACCACTTTTTTCGGAAGAACAGTTGCGGCAGATGGCACTGCTGCATAGTCAAGCTCCATGGTTGTACCAGGAACGGCCATCTCGCACGTTTTTCCCATCAATTCGAAGACCATCCTTTCTAGACAGAGAAGAAGCTAGGTTGGATGCTGAATCAAATGAACTAGCGGTGATGAAGTCATACATGAAAGACCTGATAGCACAAAATGAAGAACTCACGAGAAGGTTACACGTTGTAGAGTCCAGCTTGCAACAGGGTGGAACAGACCCAGAAGTTGATCTGTCATTCTCCACTCCGAATGGCAGCAGTCGAGATGAAAGAAAGGAGGCTGAAAGACCCCCGAAGGAGGCTGAAAGACCACCTGAGGCTGATGGAGGACCAAATAGAGGTGAGCCTTTTGAAGCCGAAAAAGGTGCGTCGTCAACGCCGATTCCTCCGAGAGGAGCCACGGAATTTGCGGAGAAGTCGATGGAATTCATGGTCCTCATGATGGAGAACATGAAAGAATTGCAAAGAAAGTTCAATGAAGATCGAGATGAAACAGGAGCGGTCAGAGGGATCGAGGTTGTTAGAGCGGGTCCTCATGATTTACCGGCTCTACCTGTCTGGAGCTCAACTCAGGCTCCCTTGCAACTCACAGACTGGCTGCTGCTGATCGAACCGGTGGTCTCCGATTTGTCGGCCACTGCAGAGACTTGGTGGAAGCTGGTTCTCAAAGAGGCTGAGGTCTGGTATCAGGGGCATATGCAGCTGTCTCCTCTTGAAAGGCTTCAACAAGGACGAGAACCACCACCATCCTTGGTTCAAGAGAAATGGCAACGCCTAGAAAGGCGAGTGGCGGCGATGATGTTGCAGGCCGTCCCTGAACAAGTCAGAGAGGAGCTTGTGTCAAGTAGGAGAATGTCTGTCTTCTCTATCATCACGCACCTCTACGTGACGTACTGCCCAGGAGGAGTGTCTGAGAAACATACCCTCCTCAAAAGTCTTGAAGAACCTTCTGAAGTCAGTTCTTTAAGTGAGGCGCCTACTGCTTTGAGGAAATGGCTTCGATGGCGCCAGCGAGCCACTGAGATCGGCGCGACCATGCCGGACCCAACACTGCTAGTGCGTGGAGTGCTGAAGATGACTCGCAAGGTTTTGGAGTCCAATCGGGAACTGCAGTTTCGTGTTTCCCTAGCACGACATGGCCTTGGCATTGACACGGTGCCCACTATTGACAACGTCACAAAGTTTGCCATGCACTTGCTTTCGGAATGTGAACAACTGTCACAGATGGAAAAGAAACCGCCTGCATCAAACGCCAAGGTGGAGCCAAAGATCAAGTCCATGGAGCACGAGAAGGAAGAAGGCAACAAAGGGAAAGGAAAAGGAAGGGAGCGAAGTGGTGAGGAGGAGAAAACCGATCGTCAAAGGGTCAAGTGTCGATTCTTTCTCACTACAGAAGGCTGCCGTAAAGGTCGTGATTGTCGGTTCTCACACTCAGAGAAGGATGGCAAGAGGCGATGCTACACTTGTGGCTCCACGGAGCACATGGCTCCAGATTGTCCAAGGAAGGGCACTGGCGAAGGATCGCCGCCAAAGCCAAAGGCTGCAAAGATGGACGGAGAAGGAACACAAAGCGCAGGGAAGCAAAGAGAAGAAGGTGGACCAGATTCAGAGACGATGAAGGGCCTCATAGAGGAGGCCAACAAAATGCTGCGGTCTTTGACTTCTGCCTCAGCGTCTTCAGGCTCTTCAACCACATCAAGAAACGATGAAGATGGTCGAAGTGAAGTGTTGTCCCGCCTTCAAGCTCAGCTCAACTCACTGAAGGCGTTCAAGCTTGGTCGCATCAGTACAGGCCAAGGAAAAGGTTTGATAGACAGCGGTGCAACTCATCCTCTTCGTTCATCCAAAAGTGAGGAGGAGCACTCGAGCTTGAGGGAAGTTGAGGTCACCCTTGCAAATGGAGAATGTGTTCGGCTTCATATGACATCAGCTGGTTCAATGATCACAAGCGATCAGAACATTGAGCCCATTGTCCCCATGGGACTGTTGATTGACTTGTTGGGATGTGAAGTCTCTTGGAAAAGGGGTGTCTTGCAATTGAAACACCCTCAAAGAGGCCTGCTACATGTAGAAGATTGCGGCGGATGTCCACAAGTTACAAGGAAGCTGGCTCTTGAGTTGATCTCAGAGATTGAGGACGCCAAACGAGGAGTACAACTCAATCGGATCTCTTTTGAGGAGGAGGTTCAATGGATGAATCAGTTGATCTCGGTTCATCCGATTCTCTCTGGCCTTCCAGATTGGCTGAAGAAGCGGCTTGTTGTGGAACCTGCAGATTGGAGTCACATTCCAGCGAATAGGAGACAAAGGAGGACGATGAGACAAGAAGGCTTCGTTCTTCATCTCTACTCTGGTGATGAAAGTGGCTTCACTCTGAAGAGGTCACTCAAAGGACAAGGAGGGCGAGATAGGTTGCTCCTTGAGATCGACAAGAAACATGGTCCTGCTCATGACATGGAAAAAGACTCAGGACCATATCCGAGTTTGCTTCGTGCGGCTTTGGAAGGGAAGCTACTAGCTGTGGTTGGTGGCCCCAATTGTCGAAGCCGAAGTGTTTTGCGCCACAGACCAATTGAAGGACAGCCTGATGCTCCACGTCCGATTCGGAATTGGGGAGGAGGAGAATTTGGAGCGTCATGGGCCAATCCAAGGGAACGCGCTATGTTACGAGAAGATGATGTCCTGATGTGGCGCATGCTGTTCTTGTTCATGGTTGCCGAGTATACAAGAAAAGCTCAGCTGAAACCTGATCCAGTACACTTGGTGCTGGAGCAACCAGCATCACCAAAGGCATATCAACCGGATGTCGTCTCCTTCTGGGACACTGCAGAATGGCAAGGTCTTCGCAAGGAGTTCGAGCTCAAAGAAGTGACGTTCAACCAAGGAAAGTTGGGAGGTCTTGCTCCAAAGCCTACGACACTGGGAACCACGTTTGACATGTCTATGGAGGAGTTTGAAATGCCTCCCCAACAACCTGAACGGCATGTCACCAGCTCCAAACAGTTGGAACGCTGGGCACCTGGTCTCATGAATGCAATCAGTGCTTCCATCATCAAAGAAGTCTACAAGCAGAGCCCTCAGCTGAAGGTTCTTTCGTGGGATGAACATGTGAGGTTTGGACACGTGCCGTATCGCAAAGATTGTTTTGTGTGTCAGCAGTCAGCCCAGCAAGTCTTCCCACATCGAAA